AAATAATTATCAGAAATAGTAGAAAATAGGCCAATATGAAAAGTTTAAGAAAGTATATAAGCCAATTTTTAGTTATAGAAATTAATAGACCATAACTTGTCAAGTTATGGTTCATAACCAGATAAGTTATGGATAAACTTGTCAAGTTATGGTTCATAGCCAGACAAGTTATAGACAAAAACCATGAATTATGGACAATAACTTGTCAAGTTATGGTTCATAACCAGACAAGTTATGGACAAAAATAATAATTTGGCCTATTTATTAACTTATGTAAACTATTGACCTATTAATTTTAATTCATCTCAAGTCTTGACCTATTTCCCTCTTTCTCTCAACAATTATTTTGTTCCATTAGCTACCTACCAAAGTAACTACAAACAGTCTAACATAAATTGTGGCATCTATTCTAGACCTTTATTTCTGTTGGTGACCTGATCAGCACCTATTCGCCGACCACCTAGACGTATGGGCCGATCACTATTTCGATGTTATGTAGCCGGTCAATGCTCATAATACTATTAACACTCAGAGTCATTCTCTATCTTGCTCACTATTGATATCCGGCTTCAGAGCATCTGTTCATACTACCTACGAGCTCCTAAGCCGAACAAGAGTTAAGAAGAGTATTGCACACTTAGTTATTTGTTGGCACCCATCCTCACTGTCCACATGGTTTATTGTACAATCAGGGAGGATTGGTGACTCCTGGAACTGCCCCTGATAAGGGTGTACAACCTCACTACGGGGCCCTGGGTAAATTGTGGGCCTAACCCATATCCAACAACACACTATAAGTACCCCATAGTCATTTATTAAGGCATGAACAATTTTTTCACCTAACTCTGCCATCTACTGATTATTCGGAGTAGGACACTGACTTGAGCATCGGAGGAGAATTAGCCGGCGCCACACCGGTGCCCCAAGTCCCCTAAGCTCGTTTCTTTCTTCCGCATGTGCAAAATAACCTTATTCTACTGCCGAACAAAGCTGTTCTGACGATCTGACCAGTAGTAGCGAAGAAGGTGTGTCCGACTACCGTGCACAGCCGCACGTGGTGTTGTGTCAGATTTGAACATCAACAATTTTAAAGTTTTGTGACACTTTACTTTATGTATTTTCGTGTTTTAAAAAATAGTTTGTGGACTAATTTACTTTAAAGGGAAAAAAAAGTAAAGGAGTAATTTGTCAAAGTATGTAGAAATTTCATAATTAATTTAAAGGTTTTATCAAATTGGAACCTGTCGTTGATCATTACAAAAATTAAAAATTTTAGTAATTTATCGAACAACAAAGTTTAGAGGGAGAAAAGTACCAAAAATCTTATTTTAGATTATTTTTTAAATAAATCAGCCATGCTTGCCAACCAAACCTGAAAACGAGAATTATAATGGAGAGAATGGGGGTTCTCGGGGGAGAAAAGAAAGAACATTATGCATCAAATAAAGAAGTTCGTCAAAGGGTTTTAATCGCATTAATGAAATTATTATGGCCTATGGCCTATGTCCTATGTCCTGCAGTGTTTTTCCAATTATTGTACGGCTCTTTTTTCTTTTTCTTTTTTTTTTTCCCTTTTTCTTTTATGGTGATAGAAATAAGGTTTTTTTTTTTCCTCAAGATATAAATACACACAAGAAAAATGCTATCGTTATTTTTTTATGTCACTTTTTTATTATTTTTTAAATTTATTGTTTAATATGTGAACTTTATTAACATAGTATATTAATATTTAAATAAAAAATGATATAGTAAAGTTCACGTGTCAAATAATAAATACAAAAAATGATAGAAAAAATGACACAATATTTTTGATACACACAAATATTAAAATAAAAAACTATGATAAATGCTAAGATAATTTTTTTCGTCAATCTTTTTGTCACTTTTTACATTTATTGTTTGACACGTGAATTTTATTATCTCATTAACTATTTAAATTGTAATATATCATATTAATGTTGTCAAGGTGTCAAATAATAAATGAAGAAAATAATAAAGAAAGTGACAAAAAAAAAAAGTAATGTTAGCCTTTTTTAAAGAATGTATATGCACACAAATATCGACCACTCATGTGGTTGCCGTGTTCAATGGTTTTCAATACATTGGCTTGAATATTATTAAACAAAAATATACTTTTAGGATAATATAATAAACAAAACACTAGAAACATAGAAGCTTAATAGCATAAAGCTGCTAGGTTTGGTTCCTAGATTAAAAAATGTACCTCGGAAGACACACTTTATATTATACAATGACATAAAATAATGTAATGTGTATTTTATTTTCCAACTAGTTCAAAATTTTAAGGTTGGCGGATATGATGGTCAATGCAGTGAATTGCCTAAAAGCGAATCAAGTCAATTAATTAGTGGGCACCTAATCGTAATCAATGACAAAAATAAAAGTGAATAAGATAGTGACGGAGTTAAATAATAATAACGAAATTATTAAATAATGCAGTTGAAAATATCTTTTGTCTTGTAACCATTGATTAATGAGTTGATTAGTAAAACCACATGTTCAATTACGATAATATTTCCATTAGAAAATTGTGATACAATAACAGCTAAAATTGAAGCGAGAAAGATTATGGCACTGAATTTGATCAATAGGAGTTCCTAGAATATATATTATTATATAATTAACAAAAAGAATATATATATATATGTAATATAATATATTTTTGTCAATTTCTAAATGTATTTTTGGATTCCATGTGTTGTGTTTTCACTATTTTATAGGTGATATTTTGTAGTTTATTTAGATAGGAATCAATATGTTACGCTGTTACTTAAATAGAATATATTGTCAAGTAAATAATTCGCAGAACAAAGGCATCAATCTCAATTTTATTTTATTTTTGTTGGGACACCAAACTCAATTATGTAAAATTGACGCTTTACGTTTTTTACTTATAAAAAAAGTTTTACGTAAAAACGTTTTACGTGTTTTTAGTTTAGTATTAGGAAAGACGTCACTAAAATGAAATTAAAGCTTCTCTAAAAAAAAGAATGGAATTAAAAGCAGAATGAATCAAAATATGGAACAAAAGGAAGGAAAACAACACTACAAGTCTACAACACAGTAACATTTTTACATGTTGCATAAAAGATTTACAATTTTTTTTTCTTTACTCATCAGAGTTGCATCCAATTCAACCGATTATAACTATTTTTTTTTGTTTGAAGGACGGTTATAACTATTTATACCGAAAACAGATGATTTTCTTAATATTGTATTCTATCTAAGAAATCCCAAAAAAGAAAAAGCAGACTGTAACTGAAGGACAGGAAAAACTGAATCCTCGGTTGGTTACATATGTATATCACCACCTAAAATCCACTAATCCACTAACAAAAAACTAAGGAAAAAAAAAAAAAATCCTCAGTTAGTTACATATACTGTTAGTTTATCAATCCATCTCAAAAGCTTAAGCTATTAGGAGGTGAGCCAACAATAATTTTATACTTTAACACTCTCCTTCATGTGTGGGCTGGACAATAGGCAATCGTTTAAGTAAATTAATTGAAAAACCCAACACGTGAATATTTAAGTCCGAGATATATAAAGACTCAACACGTGATAACAATTTAAATGAGGATAAATAGTAAAATTACGGGAGTTTGAACTCAGGATCTCCCGTTCTGATACCATGTTAGTTTACCAATCCATCTTAAAAACTTAAGCTATTAAGAGGTGGATCAATAATAATTTTATACTTTAATATATACATACTGACGAAAAAAAACAGTTAACAAAAAAAAATTAAAAATAATGTTATTCTAAAGGTAACCTTAGATTAAAAATAATTAAAAGCGAAAGAAAATAGAACAAAGAAATAAGTTTGATTATATTTCCTGGGAGGAGACACACGAGGCCTTGTTTCTATTCGTGCGAGTAACGTCGCACGTGGCAATCTGACGGTCTATCTCTATCCTAATTAACCCTATAAGATCAAACCCAAATCCTACACCCACGCTTTCTGAACACACCGTAATTACCCAATCATTATAAGCCAGATCACATTACGTCTTCCACGAAAGTACCAAAATACCCAAGATCTTATCCCCAAATCTTCAAGACATTGTTTGGTTCGCTATTCAAATTGTGTGCTTTAGTTTGAATTGTGACGATTTAAATTGTGATTTGAATCGGTATTTAGATACACAAATAAATTATAATTATAATTGAAAATAATATTAGATCTGTGTTTGGATAAAGTGTTGAAAACTGTTATTATAATTTTATAATAAATCTTATAAAATCTCATTGTAAATGGCATTAAAAAAAGTATACAATATGAATGAGAATCTGTTCCACTTCATTATGATCATATTGAACAAAAAAATAAATTCAATAGGAATTAAAATAAAAAAATTATCTTTTATAAGTTTTAAGTTGAGAAGAGAGAAAAAATAAATTATAATTATTTTCATTGTGAAAAACAATTTAATTGTGTGAATTTAGAAAGGATCAATTTTAAGAATTTGAATCATTATTAATTATCTGAATTGTACTCATATTTAGTTATTTACTATATAAATTTGAATATTAAACTATGGCTTGAAACTTTGGATTTTTTTTTGTTTGAAACGCCGAAACAAACAAGGGGTAAGTCGTGGGTAAGTCGTAGGTGAGTCTAGTTTATGTTAGATGTACTCGATCATCGCTCATCCAAGGAGACTAATCGGTACGGCCCTCAATGATCCATCGTATGGGGAAACCTAGAAACAAACAAATAAGATCGCGCCACGTAATCCGAGACCCTTCATCTCCACCGCGCAATCCATCACCGACTATGCTACTCGATCAGATTCTCGACACGTTTCACAATTTACCGGGAGTAGCCGGTGGCCTTAGGTCTGGGTTACGGACGCAGTCGGTCACTCCGACTCTGCAATTCCCGCTAGGTATATAAACACCCATCGGAGCTCTTTCTCTCTCTACAAATTCCCAGTTTTCACAATTAGACGAAAAGAAAAAAAGAAGGAAAAGAAATAAAAAAAGCAGCATTTTGCTTTTTTCAGCTCCAGATTTCATGGTCAGTAGCTCTCACATTCGATAATTGTTTCATTTTCTGTTTATTTTTTCCCAATTATTTTTCGTTGCAATTAATTTGTTTTCTCGATAATCTTGGACTGCTCCGATCGATCTCTGCCACTGTGAAAGCTCACTGCTTTGTTTTGCTTTTGTATTCGTTGCGATTATTTTTCGCTTCTTGATCTTTTCCTTTCGCTTATTAATTTGAGTTTTAGCTAGTTTTAGTTCGACAATTTTATCTGGATTTGTTTGTTTTGGGGGATTTTTTGCAATTTTTTGTTGGACGAGTTGTTTCGGGTTCGATCTTGGACTGTGATACGTGATATTGTGATGAAAATTTGGCTAAAACTTCTTTTATTTTGTTTAATTACGAGTTTGATAGAGTTAATTTGGGCTTCGATCCTCAAGAATCAGTGTTTAGGCCTTTACGCCAATGTTAGTTTGATGTTCATAACTTGCTGGGAGAAAAATTAGGGTTTTCGGGGGTTTGTTAGGAAATCAAGGTTTTGTACTCTAAGGTTTGGTCTCTCTTATTCTCTTAGTGTGTAACATAGTTTAAGATGGTTTTTAGAACTTCGTGTGGTTTCTTTATTTGGATTATGTCGTTGTTCTGCTAATGGTGTTGCTTGTTTCGTTTTTTCTTAGATCCGTATGAGAATTTGTTTAAAGCTTTAGGAGATTATAAAATATTATGTCCTTTGATTGTTAAGGAGCTCTTACATATGTAATAATGTTTTCATTAATCGGTGTAATGAGCTTAGAAAAATAATTTTGTGTTAGTGTTGTTTACTTAGCCATGTTATATTTATGAGATTCTATTGGGGATTTTTTTATATGGGTTTTACTTCTGTATTGTATTCAGTGGCTTGAGCATATTTATTCTTGTAAAAAACACTAGTAAGGCCTGGCTCTGGAGAGCTATTTAGACTCTGGCCATCAAGGGGCGGTGCCTCCCATGGTGCCTTCTCGGGTGGCTGGAGGGCTAACACAATCTTCCTCAAGTTCTGGAATTTTCTTTCAAGGAGACGGGCAGTCCCAGGCTGTTGTTAACTCTCACTTGAGCTCATCCTTCGCGAATTCTTCTAATTCAATTCCTGGAACTGGGCGTTCGAATCTGGGTCCGGTTTCTGGGGACATGAACAATGCAGTGTTGAACAGTGTGGCGAATTCTGGTCCAAGTGTTGGGGCAAGTTCCTTGGTCACAGATGCAAATTCTGCACTTTCGGGAGGTCCCCATTTGCAGAGAAGTGCAAGCATCAATACAGAGTCATATTTATGCTTACCAGCATCCCCAATGTCATTCTCATCCAATAACATTAGCATCTCAGGGTCGTCGGTTATGGATGCATCTTCTGTAGTGCAGCCGAATTCTCATCAGGACCAGAATGCTCAACAAGTGCAGCAAAATCAGCAGCACCAGCACCAGCACCAGCAAGGAGCATCAACTGCTACATCATTACCCACATCACAAACTGGACAAGTTTCACTTCCCATGGGTGTGAGGCTTCCTGGGTCATTTCTTCAGGATCCAATGAATTTAGGCCAGGTTCAAAAGAAACCTCGGTTGGATATCAAGCAGGAAGATATTCTACAGCAGCAGGTATTACAACAGCTTCTGCAGAGGCAGGACAGCATGCAGTTCCAAGGCCGCAATCCTCAGTTACAAGCCTTGCTTCAGCAGCAGAGACTGCGGCAACAACAGCAGATTTTGCAGTCTATGCCACAGTTGCAGAGAGCTCACATGCAGCAGCAGCAACAACAGCAGCAGCAACAACAGCAGCAACAACAGCAGCAACAGCAGCAACAGCAGCAACAGCAGCAACAGATGCAGTTGAGGCAGCAACTGCAACAGCAGGCAATGCAACCAGTATCTGCAATGAAGCGCCCATTTGATGGTGGTGTATGTGCTCGGCGCTTGATGCAATATCTATATCATCAACGGCAAAGACCACCTGTGTCTGTGAGTATCTTTGTTTAAACTAATTATCTGGATTTTTTAGTTTCTGATGTTTGTAGCGGCTTTATGAAATTTCTTGTTTTCTCCAATAGATAGAGGTTACTTTGTCTCTAAGCCTGCCTATTATTTATCAAAGAATTCCACCATATTTACGTTGTTATTTTGTTTAGTTATTATGAAAGTTCATTTGGGTTAGATAATTAGGGTTTTGACTATTTTTAAATTGACAGGAAAATACTATTGCCTATTGGAGGAAGTTTGTGACTGAATACTACTCTCCTCGTGCTAAGAAACGATGGTGCTTGTCTCTGTATGAAAATGTTGGGCATCATGCGCTTGGTGTCTTCCCTCAAGCAGCTATGGTTCGTTTCTCTCTTTTTTTCTTGCTGCTCTCTGTTTCTTTTTTTACTGTAAAAAGGAAAATCGTTATGGAAGCTTCAGATTTATACTTAACCATGCTGTACATATCATAGACTTCTTAAATTATTCATGTTATCTTCCTTTTGTGACACGTCAACATTTTCCCTTCAGGATGCATGGCAGTGTGACATTTGTGGTTCTAAATCCGGAAGGGGTTTTGGTAAGACAATTTGACTATCTATTAGAAACTTATTGTCATCTTTGGCTACTTGTTGTTTTCAACTATGAGAACATGCAAACTATAACTGCTTTTATATAACAACAGCAATACCATGACAGTGTAACCGTTAATAGGGAGGCTTCTTTAGTGTTGCTTTTTTCCCCTCTCTGCAGCCCATTTGCATGATTGTCTTTGTTGGAAAAGGATGCTTAGGTTTTATTTAGCATTATAGCATAAGGTTACTATGAGGATTGTCCATGAGTTGATTTTGATTAATTGATTTTTGATTGCATCTTTTTAATTATGGTTTTTTTTTGGGGCACCCTTTGCAGAGGCAACAGCTGAAGTGCTCCCTAGACTTAATGAGATAAAATTTGGCAGTGGAGTTATCGACGAGCTTTTATTTTTGGACTTGCCACGTGAATGGAGGTTTCCATCTGGAATAATGATGTTGGAGTATGGAAAAGCGGTACAAGAAAGTGTATATGAGCAACTTCGCGTTGTTCGTGAGGGTCAACTTCGTATCATATTCACACAAGATTTGAAGGTCAATAAGCTTTTCACACTAATGTATATCAGTTTCCGTATCCAATATAATCACATACAGCTGTTCTCATGCTTTTCCAGATTCTATCTTGGGAATTTTGTGCTCGTCGCCATGAAGAACTTCTTCCCCGTAGGTTGGTTGCCCCACAGGTATGGACTTGGATAATTTGTCTTGTTAAGTATTTCATAGATAAGTAGTTGTAACCCTCTTTTGTTCTGATACGTCCGAATTTTCCAATTGGATGAGCGTTTCAAAACCTTACAAATTCGGTTTTCAAACTGTTATTATTTTTTATTTTTTTGTTATTATTTTTTTAATTTTGTAGGTGAACCAGCTAGTTCAGGTTGCACAGAAGTGCCAAACCACAATTGCTGAAAGTGGCTCGGATGGGGTTTCTCAGCAAGATCTACAAACAAACAGCAATATGTAAGGACGCTGCCCATTGAATCTAAAAGCAAAAGTAGAAATATAATGATTAAGGCCTGTAAGAAGCCATGTATAAACAGAATAGGATTCTGAACAAATAAGTAGAATTGTACTCATTTTTTGAATTTTCCTTCAGGGTATTATCAGCTGGGCGACAGCTGGCAAAGAGTTTGGAGTTACAGTCACTGAATGATTTGGGTTTCTCCAAAAGATATGTGAGGTGCTTGCAGGTACATCGTCTATATGTTTGTGGGAGATAAATTATTGCTCTTATTTCTCGGCGATTTCTTAATGATTGTTTGCTCCTTAAACAGATCTCCGAGGTTGTGAATAGCATGAAAGATTTGATTGATTTCTGTCGAGAGCACAAAGTTGGACCCATTGGTAAATTCTTTTTGCCTGTTCTTGCGTTGTTTGTATTTCTATTCTTTCAACTTGGTTCGTCAGTTTTTTTCGATAATTGTAAATTCAAAGTTTTTGACTCGAGTAGATGACCTTAAACTTGGAGCTGAAATCATTATGGTATGTGGTGAATTTGGCAATGGATTGAGCACCTTCTGTGGAGGCAGTCTCTGCTATAACTATCTTCTTCCAGCCAAAGTAACCTTAATCCTGACTGGTGTAAATCCCCCACCACCCCCCCCCCACCCACCCTACCCGGCCCCGCTCCCCCCCCCCCCCCCCCCTCTCAACATGGTTTGCTTTTGTTATGTGGTCAATTAAAGTGAAAATACTGTTGGTATTGTGTTATGGCCGATAATTTTTTTGTTTGTTCTTTTTTTTTTTTCCATCCTTGAATGAGAGTTGTTATGTGATCTTTATCTTTCGATGTTTAGTTGGTCCTTTTACTTTTTTCAATCATAATTCTTGAATTTAACAATAGTGTTTGCTCGGATCCTTTGCTGACTTCTTGGCAGAGGGCTTGAAGAATTATCCTCGACATTCAAGTGCAGCGAAGCTCCAAATGCAGAAGATGCAGGAAATGGAGCAGCTAGCAAGCGCTCAGGGTATGCCAACCGACAGGAACACTCTGAATAAGCTTATGGCATTGCATCCTGGGCTAAATAATCAAATGAACAACAACCATCACATGGCTAACCGAGGAGCTTTAAGCGGTTCAGCACAAGCTGCTCTAGCACTGACTAATTACCAGAATATGCTCATGAGGCAGAACTCAATGAATTCGAACCCGAATTCTCTACAACAAGAGGCTTCATCTTCCTTCAATAATTCGAACCAAAGCCCATCATCAACCTTCCAAGGGGCTGCTGCTTTAATACCAGGATCAATGCAGCATGTACCTGTTAGTGGCTACTCGAGCCCTCATCTATCTTTGCAATCACCACAACAGCCACAACAGCTGCCTCAGCGCTCGGTGAGTGCTAATAGCATCCTACAGCAGAACCATCCTCAGAGCACTCAAGGCAATCAGGCCTTGCAGCAGCAGATGATCCAGCAACTGCTGCAGGAGATGTCTAATAGCAGTGGAGGTGCCCCACAGTCTCATGCTGGATCAAATGCCAACAGTAATGGGGGTGCAGCAGCGAGGAATGGAATGAACTTTGGTGGCAACACTTCAGCAGCACCGGCGGCAGCGGCTCCCAGTGCAGCAGGAAGTAACGGACCTGCGCCAAGCAGGAGCAACAGTTTCAAAGTCGCTTCAAACAGCGACTCTTCTGCAGCCGGTGGCAACAATGGATTCCACCAGAGAGCACCAGAATTGCACCAGAATCTTCATTTGCAGGAGGATATGGTTCAGGACATTGCCCATGAATTCACGGAAAACGGGTTTTTCAACAGTGATCTTGAAGATAATATGGGTTATGGTTGGAAGGCATGACTAACAAAATTTGGTCTAATCATTGGCGTTCCAGACCGCACAAGTGGGCATCATATATCTTTGTACAGGTCATTTGAGATAGCTGTTTTCTTTACCTCCATTTTTCTCGACTCTCGCTCTCTCTTTTCAAGAATGGATTTTGTTGTGACATGGCCCACTTGTACTTTCACTAGTTCACTAGGCTTATTAGCATCTCTTCCGCCCTCCTCTTCTTCTTCTTGGTCTCTCTCTCGCTGTTTCTTCTCCTTTTTTTTTTTTTTTTTCCCGAGGCTTTTCTGTCACCAAGTCTTCTACAAGTGTAATCTATCGGACAAAATCCCAAGAACAAACAGATTTCGTATTAACATTACTTTGGTTTACACATTCCGTTTATGCGTCCTTTAACCGGGACAGGCTTTTCTGGGAGTTGATCTCTTTGGTGGTATTTGGGTTTTACCACATCCGTGTGTATATATCACGCAATTACATGTCACGTAAAACATGGGAATTTGGGACGTAACTGGACCATTTACCTACATTTACCCGTTATATGATGCAAGTTAAGAGAGATTATCAGAAAGATCCGTGCCATCTAAATAGCACTGTTATTATATCTCACAAAAGCGTCAGTTTTCATAGACTTAAAATAACTTGGAAAATTAGAGTCTACGTTGTTGCACCATCAACTTCCGAGGCCACGGGCCAAAAGCACTCTTGTTGCTGCCTGCATTGGTGAAATGCTTCCCAAGTCGTTCAGAGTTCCTGGATTTATTTTATATTAGCTCAAAGTGAAAACATTTGAAAGAAAACGAAAACGAAAACGAAAGTATAAGAAGGCAGCTGGACATAATGTTCAGTTGAGGCTTTAGCCACATAATTTTGTATCCTAAATTGTATTAACACGATGTCATATTCTCACACTCCGAGATCTAAGGTTTTTGATCTTCTGAACATAAAAAACTCAAAAGCAAGTCATTTCCACTAGTTAAAATGCTCGTCTTCTGGTTCATCTTCACCAGCAACAACAGCAGGAGATCTTAAAGGGATTATACGAAACCTATTACGCTCCCAACCTATAACGCTCATAAACCTTGAAGTAATTGTACGCAAGCGAGATGACTCACCCACCTCTGAGATTGGAAATTTCAGCGTTGACTCAGAAGACACTGCTTTTTTATAATACTTGAAGGAGCACTTCCCTGAGGGATCAAGCATTTCGATGTCAAAAGGTCGTGAGAGTGGCCGACCCTCGACTTGGACATGAGCAATACTGTACCATTTTAGGAAGAAGTAAGAAACATGATACAGAACGAGACCACAAAGCAATGAAGCAAAAAAGCATATTACTAAAGATTCATATAGATTGTATGGACAATGGTTGCAGATGAGTGTTAACACATAATCCTTGGTCAAATTTTAGTCATCAAATTCCTTGAGATTTGGCACTATTAACAAATCCTAATTTCAAGTTTCATAGCATGTAGAATCCTCACATGATTCATATCAACTCATTAAAGTAGACGTAAAGGTTACAAATTGAGGACCTATTACTTACTAGAAAACTACAGGATTAAGTGTTAAAAGAGCAACAGAGGGAGAAAAGAGCAAGTACCAGATATAGTATAATCCGTCTATTTCTTGTCTTTGAACCCTACCCAATAACTCGACTAGCAGAAAACCTCCAACACAGAGAGCGGGTTCTGGCAGCTCAAACTTTTGTAACACATTTTCCTGTTTCATGGAATCAAATTCACGCAAGCTCTATATAAGATGGAAAAAAAAGGGATTTGCATCAATATAAAGTTTCAACTTGTCTCACATTATCAGTTGAAATTTGAAAGGACCATAATATATATATATATATATATATTTTAAGAAAAAAAAGAAAAACAGCTTTTATTTCCCTTCCTCAAATTGGAGAATGAAACAAAGCCAATAACTTATGCAGTTCAGCAAACCTGAGCCATTGGGAATTCAGGTGAGATGTATGTCCATACGAATCTATCATCTTCCAATCTGTGAGCCACAGAGGCATTATCTAAAAACTCATCTTTCAATTCCACTAGGTTTCTGAGATGGCCAGTTCTGAATCGGATAGCCTTACACGAGTATACTGGGAAGCCATACTGAAAATATGCTGATATCCAAAAACATAATTTTCCTTTCAGTTAAAGCAATAAAAGTTCCAGAACCAAAACGTAGCATAGAACTAGAAATGACACATTTAAATTTAGAGTCAGGATTAACCTTCGAATGGTTGAACATGGATTTCAGTAACAACACACAATTTGGCCACCAACTTGTACAGCAATGTCTCAGGCACATCAGGGTCACTTTTCCCACTACTTGACCAGTATGAAGGTCCATTCTCAAACCGATCCCTCGGTTCTAAAGTATTGTGAACGCTTTCTGTTGGATAATTGTCAGTGCTAGATGCACTTATGGATAGTGATATGCAATCTTTTCTAATGACAGGGGAAAGCCCTTGTGCTAAGAAGGAATATATTCTGCGTTTCCTCTTGAGGAATTCCCATTCAATAGAATTATTACGAAGACTGAATTTTAATGGTTCTATCATGTTGTTCTCTTCAATGCTACGAGCAGCGGTAGATATTTCTGGAAACTTCTTGAAGCAAAGTTGCCTACAGATGCCATTTTCAACAACTGCAGAATGTTGAGAATCAACATCATAATCATACAAGTCTGAAGCCTAGGTCATGCACACTTTATCCAAATCTCATAACAAAACAAAACACAGCTTATGGTGACATCATCATATTGAGATTCGACCTACCATTTTCCATATATTGCTTTAAGTAAAGAAGTGAACATCTGATTTTTCTTTAACAGAAGAAATGGAGTATCTAGCAGAATTGCAGACACTTTTTTCCTGTCTATAACAAAATAATACCAACGCCAGAATTGGCTATAAATCAATTGATCCCAATTTTCCACTCTCTCACCAAAGGCCCGGCAGTTCATTGCAACCTTTGGACTTTGTGAAGGAAATTAAAACAAAAGCACTAAAAAGCATTCAATAATTTAAATGCACTCCAAGATATATATATATATATATCTATAAATCAATTGATCCCAATTTTCCACTCTCTCACCAAAGGCCCGGCAGTTCATTGCAACCTTTGGACTTTGTGAAGGAAATTAAAACAAAAGCACTAAAAAGCATTCAATAATTTAAATGCACTCCAAGATATATATATATATATATATATATATATATATATATAAGAAAAGTAGATAGCAAGTGTGAAAATTGACACACATC